GCCCCCCCCCCCCCCCCAATGGGCACCATTTCAAAAATTTTCAAGCACAGATGGGCCTTTTATCCACTTCCTCAAAGAGAAAATCTCTCCAAAATTTAATACTGCTTGTAAATTGTACCTTTAGGTTGATCAAGCAGCTTCGAACGCCCTAGAAAGCAGTACCAGCTGTCTGGCTGGCTAATGTAAGCTAGTTCATTCATGCTACTTTATCAAGCACCTGAAATGGCAGGCAGGCAGGCGCCTCTTGCTCCCAGTTACCAGGGAGCCATGATTGTCATTAACCTGGCTGGTATGACCGGTACCGGCCTTAGGAAGTAAGAAAGCCCCCCAGCTTCCCAGTCTTTCTGCAGGATCCATTTACCAGCTGTGCACCACCAACACTTTCATTGTAAGTCAAGGGGAGGGCTCAGGGGTGGAAAGAAGCAGGCCCCCAGGTCGTTCCCTGACATCGCTGTTTAAAGCATCTCAGGTAACAATTCCTGGGTAAAGCTGCTCCGTTCCCAAGACTCTGGAGAACTTCTGCCAGTCAGAGCAGACAGCGGTGAGCTAGAGGTAGCCACGATGCAGATTCTACATAAGGCAGGGTCACAAGTGAATAAAGCCAGCTCTAGATACCAGGCTATGCTGAGTAACAAATCCAGATCTTCTAGAGAAGCATTAAGGCAGAGATCCCCAACCTTTTTTGAGCCTGCAGGTACATCTGGGACGCTGACCCACAGCCAGTGTCCCCTCTAAGCCGAGTTAGTGTGAGCCAGCTCACGGTTTTTTAGCCTCCAGTTGACACATTTTTGTCTTAGATCAGGAAGGATGTGGCTCCAGAGCAAACTGATTTATGCAGCAGCCAAATCGCTCGCTCACAACTTTAAGGCCAGTAGCTCAGAAAGTAGAATTTTTGCTCACAGGACTCCACAACTTAGGGGGAGCATTGGACACAGCATGGTGGGCATAACAAAACGGCTGCTGCAGGAGGCGGAGCCAGTCACATTTTTAAAAAAAAATCTACACAACCAATCAAATTTGCAAGGGCCAATAAGAAGCCTTGCGGGGCAAAAGCCCACCTGGCCCCCCCGGTCCTAAAACACTCTGCAGGTACCTGAAAAGGCGCCAGTAGGTGCCGTGGCATCCAAGAGCACCACATTGTGAATCCCTGCACTAAGAAGTCTGGAATATTACATGAATGCCCATGTGGATGAGTGTCCTAAACCTTGCTCCTCTCGTGGCCAGTAGCATTTACATGTCACAGACTCCCAGCGATGGCCCCCCTGCTGGACCGCCTGATGGCACCTGGTATTTCCAGCCACTGTGTGACACAGAGTGCTGGACTGGATGGGCCATTGGCCTGATACGACATTGGCTTCTCTTATGTTCTTATGTTCTTAAAAAGTAAAGGTAAAGGTTCCCTTGCTCGAAAGCCAGTCGAATCCAACTGTAGGGTTGCGGTGCTCATCTCCGAAGAGCCAGCGCTGTCCAAAGACGTTTCCGTGGTCATGTGGCCGGCATGACTAAACACCGAGGCGCACGGAACGCTGTTACCTTCCCACTGAAGTGGTACCTATTTATCTATGTGCAATTTCTTGCTTTCGAACTGCTAGGTTGGCAGGAGCTGGAACTAGCGACGGGAGCTCACTCCGTCATGCGGCAACTCGGGTCTCGAACTGCTGAACTACCAACCTTCCACAGCCTGCAGTTCAGCGTCTTAACCACTTGAGCCACCGCAGTTCCTCTTATGTTCTTAAATCTTCTCCAATAAGCCATGAGCTGTTGCTGCATAACACAGTCTTCTGCATTTGTGTCTTCCTTGCGCATGGCTCAAGACTCACGCGTTAGGGAGAACATTTCCAGCTTACATCGAAGCCAAAGAAACACACAATTAAAAAAACCCTTTACGGGGCCGTTGCATCTTTAAGATGCCCTCCGGCTAGAACCAACCCTTGCCAATTAGCGGCGGATCACAAAGACATACCTGTTTGAAGAGCTAGGTGTGGAGAAAATGTCGACGGCTGGTGTGGTCATGATGCTTCCGGCTGCATTGGACACCGGGGAGGAGGCGGTTGTTAAGGAGGTATGAGGTTTCTTTGCAAGTTCTTTTAGACGCTGTTCCTGTTGGCATGAAACAGAGCTGGCATCAGAAACCCAGAACCAAGGACTGCTTACACGACTGCTGAGGTTAAGCAGCAGCAGCAGAAGAAGAAGAAACTGGATTTATTCCCCACCCTTCACTCGGAGTCTCAGAGCGGCTTACAATCTCCTTCCCTTTCTCTATCCACAAGAGACACCCTGTGAGGTAGGCGGGGCCTCACAGAGCTCTGAGAGAACACCTCTGAGAGAACTTGTAACTGACCCAAGGTCACATCAGCAGCTGCACGTGGAGGAATGGGGAATCAAACCCGGTTCACCCAGATTGGAGTCCGCGCTCCTAACCACTGCACCAAATTGGCTCTCAAGTAGAGCAAAGTCTTCAGCCGGCAATGTCACGAGAGACTTCAGCACAAACAAGTGCTGGGTTAAAACAAGGTGCAGCTTCGGGAGGATAAACCGGCGGCTTGCCAAATATCTGTGGGCACCGTCACTCTGAAGGAGAATCGCTTGAAAGAAAAAGGGAGCTTCGTTAAAAGCGAGCTCTCCATTCCTAGATGCATCTGACAAAGGGAGCTTCGACCCTTGGAAGCTTACACCCCCAAAATCTTTGTGGGTCTCTAAGATGCTACCGGACTCGAACCTAGCTCTTCTACCACAGACCGACACAGCTACCCTCTGAAACGATCTTCGGTAAAAGCGGTCCGCCCTCCGCAACGGCAGCTAAGTCATGTCAAAAACTAGAGAACTAGGGCGTCCTTCCATCCTATTTCACTCTACCATGAGCTTCTCTGGGGGTGGCAAGTACCAGTCTTTTCTACCCTTGTCTTTCCTTGAACCTGTGATTGAATCACCAAGGACACTGATCTTAGCCTGCCAGGTGTCAAGAACAAGAAGAGATCTTTATTGATCCTTCCTACTATTCGACCGCAGTTCAGAGGAACGTTGGGAGACAGCCAAGCTGGAGGAGTCAGACCGCCCGCAGGTTCAGCTCTCCTCTTCATTTTTCACCAGCATCCCCTTCTTCTGCCCAAGCAACAGCAAGGACAATAAGCAGAATTAGGGAGAAGAGGAAGAGATGGGATTTATACCCCGCCCTTCACTACCCAAAGGTGTCTCAGAGCGGCTTACAAACTCCTTTCCCTTCCCCTCCCCACGACAGACACCCTGTGGGGCAGGTGGGGCTTTCTCACAATACAAGAACTCGTGGGCACTCCATGAAATTGCTGAGCGGTCGGGTTAGAACGGACAAAAGGAAGTACTTCTTCACCCAACGAGTGATTAACACATGGAATTCACTGCCGCAGGAGGTGGTGGCAGCTACAAGCATGGACGGCTTCAAGAGGGAATTAGATAAACATATGGAGCAAAGGTCCATCAGTGGCTATTAACCACAAGGTATAGATAGGGACTCTGGGGCAAGGGATGCTCTGTATTCTTGGCGCTTGGGGGAGGGGGCAACAGTGGGAGGGCTTCTAATGTCCTGGCCCCACTGCTGGACCTCCTGATGGCACCTGGTGTTTTTGGCCACTGTGTGACACAGAGTGTTGGACTGGATGGGCCTTTGGCCTGATCCAACATTGGCGTCTCTTATGTTCTTATGAGAGAGCACTTGACAGAAACTGCTCTTTTTTCGAGAACAGCTGTTATAAGAGCTTTGGCTTGCCCAAGGTCATCCAGCCAGGTGCAAGCGAAGGAGTGGGGAATCAAACCCAGTTCTCCCAGATTAGAGTCCGCGCACTTAACCACTACACCAAACCGGCTGGCTACAAGCAGTATAGGAATCGCTCTCCTTGCTCTTAGGATACAAATCCTATTCAGTCCTGAGACAAACCTGCCGCTTTGCACAGACCTACAGGAACAGTGTAACCTTAACTTTCCATCACTATGAACACTCCAGGTTGCGTGCCTACAAACCAGGGCTGAATTCAAACTTCTTGAACGGCATGCGATTTTCAGCATAAACCAACGTGAAATCCTCGGGCCCACGTGCTCGAGTCCTCCCCGATACACAGAATTACTATTTCCTGGTGCAGAAGCTCTTTGTTTTAACTCCATAACGTATTGCAATGCCAAACTTGGGCACCTTAAACTGGGGCATGTTTCCGTCTCAGTAAGCAAGGACTGAAGCCATGGATCACAACAAAGTTGAGTTAGATTTTTTTTTAAAAAAAGGTCCCAAACCACGGAAATCTTCCATCAAAGCTCCACACGTGAGGAGAGGAAGGAAGGCGCACAGACTCCGATAACGAGGCTTCAGATCATCACAAACTTTGCTTTGCTTGTAACATCTGAACACAGGCTAGGAACACTCGCATGTAACTAATTCCTTCGACTTATGCAAGCGGTGTGCAAGAAGTGGCAGCCACTCCTGTAGCTTCAAGGGGGAACGACAGGTCAAGATTTCTACCCAGTTTAGAAGACACCCCCGTCTTTGCAGAAAAAGTCATTGGAAGTTGGAACGACTCCCTGCTCGGGTTGCCAGTCTCCAGCTGGTGGCTGAAGAACTCCAGCTGTTACAACTGATCAAGGTGACAGAGGTGAGTTCACCTGGAGAAAATGACCACTGTGGAAGGTGGATTCTATGGCATCACAGCTCACTGAAGTCCCTTTGCTCCTCAAACCCCGCCCTCCTCAGGCTCCACCCCCAAAATCTCCAAGTATTTCCCAACACAGCCCCCCCCCCCCCCCTATTTCACACACTCATCCCTTGGGCAAGAAAGAGGGCTTACCGCAGAGTCCTCCATGGATTAATTGCAGATTATTTTAAAAAGCGAATGAGCACAACCCACCCGAGGCCAACTGGGGTTTGCTGATTCGTGCCCCACTTTTCAACTTCAAACCCAGGGCTCATCCATTAACAGAGCACATCTGCATTGCCCTGAAAAGATACCCACCTTTAAGGCTTTTAAACGCGCCTGCTCTTCTTCTAACGCGGCTTGTTTTTCCCTTTCGTCTACTTTGGTGAGTGACAGGCCGGTGCTTGCAAGGGAAGAGACGGCGTTGGAAAGGGTGGTGGCCCTAGGAAAAGTTGACAGCAGGAAACCTGGCAGTTACGTACACGACACGATAGGAAAAGACACTCACAACGGGGCTTTGGCTTTCTTTTAATTTCTAACTCCGAGGAACACACAAGTAGGTTTTGGGAGGGTTTTTTGGACCTTTGTGGGCACAGCCTAAGCAGCAAAACTTCCAGTGCCTTTAGAAAAGGACAATGCAATTGAACTACCCTGCTCAACCCCTAAAGGTGATTTTAAGTAAGACGGTTTTCTGATAGAGAAGATCTTTTTCAAAGCCTGGGGTGGGGTTGGGGGAGAGCTTCACTTCCATACTGGCAAAAAGTGGGTGAGCTATTTCATTGTTTGGAATACAACTGGAGACATCCACCACAGCAACACTTGCTTTGACTCTCTGTGCTCAGAGCTGAAATTATGTGCACAAGAGCATGACCCGCCGGAACGATTTTTAAACCAAGTTACTACAGGCAGAGTGCAACTCCCTGGACTTCAGAGTGATTGAAGGCGGTTAAAGGACTGTCAGTGACCTTTCCAGGCTTTCTTACAGCCACACGGCCAACTTTACTCAATGCTCTTGTTTAAATTGGATTCATAAGCCCCAAAGCCTGGAGCTGGTGTTTCCTCGGCTTCAATTTTTGACTGCATTGCTCCCCATTTTTACGGCAAACAAACTAAAGGCAACATTAGGAAAGTACACAACCCCCCCCCCCAAACACACACATACACACAGACCCCTTCACCTGCATCGCTCTGCAATTCTTTACTCTTGATAAGCAGCTACATCCTCCCGGAAACTAGGAAGTGCTCAGCGCGGTAAGAAAACTGCAGAGCCGGGAGTTTGTGACCCCCATGACTGACAGTCCAAGGGTGCAGAAAGGGACAAATATTTGCTGAGCAAACACGGTCAAACGAAAGGTAGCGATGGGACAGCCCAAGCTTACACCGGTCATCTGGAAAAATTAGTCAGCTGCAGTTCGGTACTGCTGAACTCTTAAGTACCCGTAACGTGAGACTCTTCCACTTTACAGGAACAAGCCGTATAGGCAAGCCCCGTTCACATTCTCTGGGCTGCCAATGATACCTGGTCTTTTCCACCACACCCCTGGGGAAGTAGTGCCCCTGCGAAGAAAACCTGTTCTTCCCAAGAAACACAGATCTCTCAGAGGAAGAAGGCGCGAGGCAGTTAGACGCCACCTGAGCTGCTTCCAACCACCTTGAGACAGGGGAAACAGCTTTCCCCTCCTCCTCCAGTCACTCTGCAGTCCAGAGAACTCAAGAGGACGGGTGGGGTTCACCCTGCCCTTTCTGCTGAGCTTTTGTAGGACTTGGTAGGGAGGCACAGCCAACGGCGCCCGCAACAGCGGCCTGCATAGCCAAGCCAACATGCATAGCCCCTGCCCGTTGGCTATTTTCAAGACACAATGCACCGTTTCAAAAGCAAAGGTGTATGGCCTTGCGAGGGGTGAGACCTTGACAGAAGTGCAAAGGAGTCTGCCTAGTGCTGCAGGGCAACCGGGCAGAGTGACTTCCTCATCTAGAACGACTCTGTGATGCTTTTCCATTGTGTGCTTTGACTCTCGGCGGCCTGACACGACGGCGAATTCCTAGGGGAGCGGAAGTGCTGAGGGCTGGTGAGAGAATCTCAATGACCGGCTTCCCAAAGCTAAAAGGGCAGAAACGTGATGATCCAGCCGGCTTTCCCTTCAGCTCAACAACTCGCATAGTCTCTGGCCTTGCACTTCTGCTCTGCTCACAAACTCCCGAGACCCGATGGCCGTGCACAGGTGAAGCCCTGTTTCTGCCCCTTCTTTGGGCTTCCCCAGCCCTTTGGGAGTTTAGCTTGTAGCTCAGTGGCAGAGCATCGGCTTGGTGAGCAGAAGATCCCAAGTTCAATCCCCGGCATCTCCAGTTAAAGGATCTGGTAGTATTTATTTATTTGGATTTATATCCCGCCCTCCCCTTAACCGGCTCAGGGTGATGTGAAAAACTTCCGCCCGAGACTCTGCAGGGCCTCGGCCAGTCTGAGTAGACAATACTGACTTTGATGGACCAAGGGTTTGATGCAGTATTAAGGCAGAGCATGTGTATCCCACACTATCCTGCATGCCTGGGGATTCCTCCGGGAATGCAGAAAATCTCCCTTATACTGGTGGGATAGCCCCGTTGCGTTGCTTCCTTTATCCATAGAGGGGGCCAGGTCATTCACAGTTAGAAAGTACAATAAGGGAGGGGCCATGGCCAATGTTCCCTCTAAGCTGTGGAGTCCTGTGAGCCAAACTTCTACTTTGTGAACTACTGGCATTAAAGTTGTGCGCGAGCAATCTGGCTATTGCATAAATCAGTTTGCTCTGGGGCCATCCTTCCTGAGCGAAGGCAAAAATCTGTGAGCTGGAGGCTAAAAAACTGTGAGCTAGCTCACACCAACTCAGCTTAGAGGGAACATTGGCCATGGCTCAGTGCCAGAGCATCTGCTTGGCATGCAGAAGGTCCCAAGTCCAATCCCTGGCATCTCCAGTTAAAGGATCTGGCGCTGCGTGATGGGAAAGACCTCTGCCCGAGACCCTGGAGAGCCGCTGCCAGTCTGAGTAGACAATACCAAATTTGATTGACCAAGGGTCTGATTCAGAAAAGGGTAGCTTCATGTGTACCAGAGCTTTCCAAAGTAAAGAGGCAATAGAGAATTGCTTTAACTCATCTACGGCAACAGAGCAACTGTATGAAGCATTCCATGACGCTTTCCTTGTTGGCAAATAATTCCCCTGTGCTTTACCGGCAAAAGCTTTTAACAAAGATTTCAAGCACCGCTGCTCTAGTCAATATTGTCGCAGTTCTGTGTGACAAGTACTACACAGAGCTTGACGCTTCATCAAAAGGCAACTGCATCCTAGTGGGGAAACTGTCACCTGAGACACGAAGTTGACTGCTGCTCCCTGACAACCCTGCGCTTTGGTACAGAAGTAGTAAGTGCACCGTTTCCCACTCAGTCATCACAACCAACTCTCCACATGGTAGCAGCTACTGCTACCCCATTTGATCAGCAGCAAGCTTCCGATATTGCCGAATGTACACTTTTTCGCCCCGACTGCATCCCTTTTAGGCTACGGCATGCCACTGTATGGGAGCTTTCAAGTATGCATTCCTCATTTGCAGCCCAAAATAGTACAGTCGGAGGGAGGGGGACGACTGCTTTTGCTTAATTCTGCAGAATGTACGCACTGGTTCCACTGTCTGAAGTTCCCACATTAAGATCAAAACAAACCATACTTCAGGAATCTTCAGATGCATTACAGAATGTTCACTTGCCAAGGACGACGACGTACCTGCTTGCAGCAGTGGAATCTTTGATCTTTTTTCCTTCCAAGGAGGCCAGGTGCTGTTCCAAAGCATCCAGAAGGCTGCTCGGTGCCTGCAAAGCAAAGAATAATGCTTCAGAACGTAAGGGCCAGAAAACACCCAGTGTCCCCGGGCACCAGCTTCGTAGCATGGTTAAGAGAATTCAACAACAAGCAGCTGAACACAAGCCAACTCATAACTGCTCCTTATCCAGAAGTGTATTACGATATTAAGCGTGGTTGGCAGGTAGTGCATCTGTTTCAACAGACCGGCAATTCAAGAAGCCCTGCAAGAATTAAGAGGAAGGGCCAAGTGAAAAGCCCACATAACATCATGAGCGGTTCTTCTACATTCCAAGGGATTAACTCGAAAACAAACAGATAAACATGCTAACGCGCTATCAAAGTGGGCCGGGGAGAGCCCAGATGGGTGATTTGCGCTCATCTACGGAGAGCAGGAACCCATTACTTGGATAGCCCGGGCTAGCCCGATCTTGTCAGATCTCAGAAGCCAAGCAGGGTCAGCCCCTGGTTAGTACTTGGATGGGAGACCTCCAGGGAATACCAGGGTCGTGACCAATGTTCCCTCTTGAGCTGTGGAGTCTTGTGAGCAAAAATCCTACTTTGTGAGCTACTGGCATTAAGGTTGTGAGCGAGAGATTTAGCTACTGCATAAATTAGTTTGCTCTGCAGCTATCCTTCCCGAGCTAGGACAAAAATGTGTGAGCTGGAGGCTAACAAACTGTGAGCTAGCTCACAGTAACTCAGCTTAAAGGGAACACTGGTCGTGACACAGTGATAGGCAATGGGCAAACCACCTCTGAACGTCTCTTACCCTTGAAAACCCTACAGGGTCACCGTTAAGTTGGGTATGAATTGATGGTGCATACGCACACCCGGAGAGCAGTTAGCTTGCCAGAGGTCATTGGTGTGCAAATACTATACAGAGGGTATTTGCCTCCAGAACTTAACTTAGATGGAAACCTGCTGCTTTGAAGTAGAAGCCTTTCCCAAAGTTTGTCGCCGAGCATCATTAACTGTGAGACAACATCAGCTGCAAATAACTGGGCCGGAGGTTTGGGGATGGGTGGATGAGGGTGCCCCAGCCCCGCTTAAAAGCACAGCAGACACCCACTAGTGATGACAACCCATTAGTGTTGAACAGAGAATTTTTCGTCCCTCTCCCAAAATACCAGAACTTGAGGGCATCCAATGAAACTGATGGGCAGTAGGCTCAGAACGGCCTAAAGGAAATGCTACTTTACACAGAGTGGCTAAAATGTGGAATTTGCTGCCCAAGGATGTTGTGATGGCTACAGGAATAAACAGCTTTAAAATGGCATTAGATAGATTCATGGAGGATAAGTCTATCAATGGCTACTAGCCATGGTGACTAAGGGGAACCTCCACATTCAAATGCACTAAACCTCTGAATCCCAGAGCCAGGAGGCAACATCAGGGGAAGGCCTCATCCTCTATGCCCTGATGTTGGCCATTCAGAGGAACTGGCTGGCCACTGTGTGAGACAGGATGCTGGACTAGATGGAACATTGGTCTGATCCAGCTGGGATCTTCTTATGTTCTTAACACCAAGGTCTTCCAATGACAAGAGCCTGGAAACACACGCATGCATGACAAATGCAAAAACTACCCACCTGAGAAAGATCTGGTATGTCTCCTCTGTCTATCCCCACTTGCTGCAACAACAAACAGATTTTGGTAAGACGAAGGCCTCAATTGTGTTCGGTTAAAGACATGATGAAGAAAGCACACCAAAGGCAATATCAAGGAGGTTATACACTGAGAAGGTTCATACAATGCAGGCTCCATGCTAAAGTATAACAATAAAGAAAATGGCTAAGAGGAAGCCCCCTCAATCTCCTCTTCTCCAGACTGAACGTTCCCAAGTCTCTCAAGCCTTTCCTCGTAGGGCTTGGTCTCCAGATGCAAGAGAAGAAAGCCCAGGGGCAGGCTTTTGATATTCTCTCCTCCAGCCATAGCATCCCTTCTTCCCAGTATTTGGGAGACAGAGTGTCAGAAGACCCAAGCTTAGCAGTCATTCAACACCAGCCTCTCGCCTGAGAAGCACGAGGGAGGCAAACACAAGGGATCAAGGGGGGGACGCAAGGGATTGAAGATTTAGACCCTTTCCTACCCTCCCCATTTCAGTGCCTTCAGCATCCAGACGCCAAAGTGTTAAAGATAGTTAGGAAGCACTAACAGATTATCAACTAACAGAGCTCTACCAGATAATATGGGGCGGGAGAGTTAGACCAGGGTGGCATAACACATTTAAAAACATGGCTATGCGCACACGCTCTGCGAGGGTGGTTACAGTTCCAATTTTGACAGAAAGGTAAAATTTCAAAGCATGGAACCGCGGCACAGTTTTGCAGTTGCACAGCACAACGCACAGGGTTGACTCAGTACTTAGGTGTGCATTGATGCATCAGAATTTAGAGGCTGCCGAGGATTCGTTTACATCACGTACTTCCCGGCTTATCATTTAAATGAATCCTTATCATTGGCACGCAGCAGTCTTGTGTGAGCCATTCACATGACCTGTCTCCATGCTGATAACCACAGCCACTTGAGCAAGCAGTGTGAATGAGCCCTTAGACCTGAATGTAAATCTCAGTAGCTCAAGGAACGTAAGAAGATGAGGAAAAGAAGAGACTGGATTTATACCCTGCCTTCTCTCGGAGTCTCAGACGAGCTTACAATCTCCTTTCCTTTCCGCTCCCCACAACAGATACCCAGTGAGGTAGGTAGGGGCTGAGCAAGCTCTGAGAGAACTGCCCTTGAGAGAACAGCTCTGAGAGAACTTGTGACTGACCCAAGGTCACACCAGCAGCTGCATGCAGAGGAGTGGGGAATCAAACCTGGCTCTCCCAGATAAGAGTCCGCGGTCTTAACCACCACACCAAACTGGCTCTATCACTATCATCTTTTTCATTCTCCAAGTTAAGGCCACACCAACCACCTCCGCTTGTCCTGAGGGATGACCGTCCTTTCCAGATCATCAATTTTATACCTCTGCGACTTTGAGGAATTCTGAAATTCTCGTCATTCGAGTCAGGAACTTCTTGTATATGTCAAGGCCTTCTTTGCACTGGTTCTTCTTCATGTCAAAGTATTTTTCTACAAAACAAGAGAAGTGAATGCGGGGGTCAAGATTATTTCCTGTTTACAGCACGCGTTAGTTAAAGTATTCAGGTGTCCGGGAGTTCAAGGATGTTTGCCAGGAAGCAAGCAGATAACCTTCGCAAGCACTCTTTGCTGTAGTAAGCGCTCAGGCTCGATATGTTTTCTCGTTGGCTGCGCATATCGAGCACAGAGAACAACTGCAAATTAAAGAATCACGATGACGGGGCTGATGACGGAGTTGAGAGATGAAATTAAGTTAACGGTTGAATCGTTTTTTCCTAGGATTTCGATGGCAAGATGAAATCGCATTTCAGCGAAAGTTGTATTTAAGTTTCGTGGTGGCGACCAGCGGTCATCAGCCCGTGGAGAACAGGACCCACAGTGGGGTCACGTACACTTGGCTGAGTCAACTTTCCTGCTGTTTTCCTTGTAAGACACTCCCCCCCCCCCCGAACTCAACAGAAAGGAGGCTCCCGTTCTCCTGGCTTTCCACAAACCAAGCAAAACTGAGTTATTCAAGAGGGCTTCTTTTTATGCAGACAACAGGGCTCCCCTGTACAAAATGATTCACAAAGTTAGTTAGATAAATTATTAGGGACTATGGTCTCTACCAACGCTCCCTCTAATATGAACTACCCAGGAGCAGTGCTCTCTTCTAAGCTGTGGAGTCGTGTGAGCAAAAATTCCACTTCGCGAGCTCCTGGCATTAAAGTGGGGAGAGAGTGATTTGGCTACCGCAGAAATTAAGTTTGCTCTAGAGCCATCCCTTCCTGAGCTGAGACAAAAACGTGAGCCGGAGGCTAAAAAACTGTGAGCTAGCTCACACTAATTCAGCTTAGAGGGAACAACGCCCAGGACGCAGTGTTCCCTCTAAGCTGCGCGTGTGAGCGGCTGCTCATAAAGACAGGAAGTCCCGCTCAGCAGCAACCTGGAGGCGCGCAGGGTCTTGCACAGCCCATTGCTCATTTTAAGATTACATCAGTTATATTTCTGCTCAGGATGTGGACTGCTCCACTCAGTGGGGAAAAGGAATTAGAGGGAACACTGTCCAGGAGACTCTAACTTGCTTGATTTAGATCACTGTCTACTGATACTCCAAGAAGTAGTAGGCGGGGGTGCCCCTCTTTTTACTGACTAGCTTCTCTGCAGGTAACATGTGAATAGAGTGGCCAGCTCTGGGTTGGGAAATACCTGGAGATTTTGGGGGTGGAGCCTGGGGAGGGTGGAGGAACCCTCAATGGAATATAATGCCATAAGAGTCCACCCTGCCAAAGCCACCATTTCTCCAGGGGAGCTAGTCTACGTTGCCTGGAGATCAAGGGTAACGGAGGGAGATCTCCAGGTGCCAACTGAGGGTTGGCAACTCCAAATGTGAGTGTAATGCAGAATTTAGCAGGTGGACTTTATCTCTGTCAGCAAATTTCTGTCAGAGACTGAGAATGGTGCCAACCTTTTACTCGTGATATTTGGGGTGGAGAATGGGCCACAGCGACAAGCCACGCCTCGCCTACGCCCACACGCCTCTGGAGGTTTGGGAAGCCCTTCGAGACTAAAAGGGAGACTCCAACCCACAAGCCTCAATCACTTGGTGACCACATCCCCAAAGACAGTGAAACGCTGAAGTCTGAACTTCCTTAGTGACAAAACAGACACCTTCCCTAAATAAAATGCAGAGAAGATTGGCCAGCGTTGCAGTTTGGCTACATGGTCGCTGGACAGGAAGAAGATTATAGCTCAAGGAACAAAGTCGTCTTTTTTCATATCCAAACAATGAGCCCACTTTGGCCTCAGGCCAGCTGCCTGTTTCTGTTTATAGGTGAAGAGAAGTGGGAGATTTAAGAAGTCCCCTTTCAAAACTGCATTGCAGGAAGCCCGAGTTTAAGACTACCATCTCGCTTTACCAAGGAGGAAGAGATGTGACAGAGGAAATACTTACCCAGCAGGTTAATAATCCCTTCATTATATGCTGCAAAGAGTCTAATGGCATCTTTGAAGAGAAGCATGAAGGCAGCATTAATCACGCCGTTCGTAAGTTCGTTGCTGTTGACCTGGGTGAGGACATAGAAGGAAGTTAGCCAAACTGGGGGAAACATCTGTTAACTTTTCCCCCCAGAACCCTATGCAAAGATACACATGTGCACACCAATGCTCCCTCTAAGCTGTGGAGTCTTGTGAGCAAAAATTCTACTTTGTGAGCTACTACTGGCATTAAAGTGGTGAGCCAGCGATTTGGCTCCTGAATAAATTAGTTTGCTCCGGAGCCATCTTTCCTGTGTGAAGACAAAAATATGTGAGCAGGAGGCTGAAAAACTGTGAGCGAGCCCACACTAACTCAGCTGAGAGGGAACACTGCCGCACACCCAGCCACAATTTAACACAAGTGGACCACAAGGTTGTGGCAGCACCGCCAATGTAGTGGAACAATCCATTAGCTGTTAGACTGAAGATAAATCCCTAAAGAACCGATTCTAGATCAAATCAAGCCTGAACTCTCCCCAAATGACTCAACGGAGGCTATCGTACTTTGGTCACATTATGAAAAGACAAGAGTCCCTGGAAAAGACACAAATGCGAGGAAAAGCTGAAGGCAGCAGGAAAAGAGGAAGACCCAACATGAGATGCACTGACTCTAATGGAAACCAGTTTGCAAGACCTGAGCAAAGCTGTTAACAGGATGCTTTTGGAGGCCTTTAATTCACAGGGTTGCCAAATTGGAAGTGATCTGACAACACGAAGAAAAAGAAAGAAAGAAAGAAAGAAAGAAAGAAAGAAAGAAAGAAAGAAAGAAAGAAAGAAAGAAAGAAAGAAAGAAAGAAAGAAAGAAAGAAAGAA